TGGGTTGGGCATGGGGGCAACCGCAGGGACATGGGCTGCTGCAGGGGTCTGATGGGACCTGAGAGAAAGGAAGGCTTCTCTGCTAAGTGTGTTACTGTGTTTCCGCGGCAAGAAACATAAGCCCAGCCTCAAAGTAGGGGTTGTGGTGATGCACGGCTGTAGGTGACACAGGGGACATGGGGCAGCCTTGTCTGCATCCCATTGGATTCTCAGCTGGGTCCTGCCTGCACCCCTGCTCCTCTGGCTGCTGGCATGGCCTCACCTGCTTGGCTAGTCACTCTCTTCTTCTGAGATTCCGGTTCCTCTAAAGGAAAAACACCTTAAGGAAAGATTTGTTATAACTGTTCAGCTGAAAGGCTTCTTCCCTGCTGCCTGACCCTGCTTTGTGATGTCCCTTAGAAAAGATCTCTCCCTGCTCCGTGAGCAAAGGCATTGAGCGTGAAATCCCAGGCCCCTGTTCACATCTCGAACACCCCCTGCTGCATTGATTTTTTTATTTTTTTATAGGACTAATTTTTCATCAGAGTGATGTAGGACATGATCAGAAGCAATTAAAGGCTGGCAGACTAATTAATGTCAATCAGCATGGTTTATGGGTATTGGCCTTGTCAATCAAACTTGATACTGTGTGTTGGTGAGATTGCTTTCAGTTCTCAAAGCTGATGCTCCACAGAGAGATATTCTTTCCTGAGATGCTTATTAAAATAGTACAAGTCCTTCAGGAACCAGTTAAAGGACGTATTTAAAAGCCCTTCAGGCACTGACAATTACAGGTAGATCCTTTGCTAAATCCCACTTGGTGCTGCAGCAGATTAAATGCCAAGCTTGCTACACTGTTTCTGAGCGCTGCGCTAGGTGCAACTCACCCCTCCTGGGGTCGTTGTGCTGCTGGCAGCATGCTCTATAAAGGCTAAAGGCTGATGGAGGTGCATATGGCAAGCTGCTCAGGCTAGTAAATGAGTGACTAAATGGCGCTGTAGCAAGGCTTAAGTAGAACAAGGGCAGGATTTCTTTCAGGGACAGACTGGAAATCTGATACGGGCCATTGGGAGGTTTGCAGTGGGATATTTGGGAAAAAGAAAGAAGCAGAAACCTATTTCAAGCTTGATCCTGAAGAAAGCAAATGTGCAGGGTGCTTTGGAAAGGTTGGGCTTGTAAGAAAGGAGACCTGCTACAGTCAGGACATTCCTGGCACTGCCACAGATGCCTCCACAAGGCCCCAGATATTAACTTACTGCAGGCATAGGCAACCTTTCCAGCATCAACGTGAACCCATGGAAGAAGAACAGAGCCAGATATTAAAGCACATTTCTTCCTTTGTAAGTCCGTGTGCCCTGAACCTTAAGGGTTACTCATGTTGAAACAAAAATCAAAGAGCCTTTATAGTGTTTGTGTTAGGATGTCACAGACACAGTTGCTATGAGCACTTTTAAATCCTGAATCCTGCAGCACTCATGTTCTTTGCACATAATAGTATGGATGTAATTTTCTACTTTTAATAAAAATGAATAAAACAAGAACTCCATCAGGCAGAGTCTCTGGAAAGTGCCTGACAGAGGTGTGAGGCAGTCGACAGAGGATCTTGTAGGGCACAGCCAACCATGGGAAGGGATGCTCAGAAGTCCCAACAGCCTGAAGCAGTAGAAGGGGCTGCAGGGTACCAGCGAGCTGGTGGCATTGCGCTCCTAGCAGAAAGCACCTGGGCCATTCACAGCATTGTGCTTGGGAGGTGTAAGACTCATGGCCCTCCACATTTAGTGACAGCTCCTTCCTACGCAGAGCTGTAGAGAGCTGAAATCCCCATCCTGCTGCCTTTTATAGGCCTCCCTGGGTCTGAGAAAGACTGGCTTATTATTCAGGAACCTTGTCAAATATTACAGTCCAGCCAGCAGGTCTCTAAGTGGTCACAATTAAATTTATCTATGTGATTGCTTGGTCTCATATTATTAAACTTTGGAGCTGTATAATTTTATCCTTTCTGAATGGCTTACAGTCCTTTGCCACAGCTGTCAACTGAAGTCTGAGGGACCATGGCAGGCTGTGCTCAGCTCTGGATTACCAGTGAGCTGGGAAGTTAAGCCACGGGCTCCAGAGCTCTAGCATGCAGAGAGCCACTGTGACATGCTGGGAACAGGAAAAGGGTAGCCGTTACACAGGAGCAGGGGGACTTTTATGACACACTTATTTCCATAGTACAAAATCATACATTGACATTATGGTGGAAGATTCTTTGCCCGGTTACCACTTGAAGACATACCTTTTACCTAAGCAAATGCTTAATTGCTTCTCATTGGACACTGGTAATGGGACATTAGGTATCAATAAAAGACAACTCTTAAAATACAGGCTTACTACGTTTTCCAGCACAATGTAGTGGTTACGGTTGCAGAACAGATTTGCTTCACTGCAGTTTTAGTTTTCCATTTGTTTCCCATTTGTGCAAAGTGGCTGATACCTCTGCCATAGACGCATACTTGCTTCCCAGACCCAGGCTTTGCCCTGCAGCTTTCCTAATGCAGAATGCCCCATCCCTGGGGGGGCCACTGTGGACAGAGCCACACATTTGAATTCCTAACTGACGTGGGAAGAGCATGGCCCTTAGTCAGAAGATGAAGCTGCATGATGCTCTGCAAGAGCATGGAGATGCCAGTTGCTCTGAGGACATGGATCCTGGAGGGAAGCATTAATATTCTGGGCCACCACGTCTCCCTGCCATCTGTTGCACTAAAGCAAAGGACACCAAAATAAATTTCAGAATCTCCTATGAGGGAGAAAACTCTGGATGCTATTTCTACAGCAAGCTGTTTAAGGCTTGCTCACATCATCTTTCTCCTTTACAAATGTAGCATTTTTCAGAGATGTCCTGCTGCAGGGAGATGGGTTTAGTAACTGTGAGACTTGTAGGAGTGTGATTGTACATGCTGAAGATGCATGGCGTGCTCCAGCACAGCAAGCCCAGCTTATTGCTGTGGATAAGGACAAGGAAGAAAGCACACGGTTTCCGAAGCAGCCAGTCAGGATGAGGCAGGGAGCTGCAAGCTGGCAGTCCTTGTGGAATGATTTACTTCTGAGCAGGCAGCACCATTTAAAACCTTTGGACGTTTCCTGAAATGTCTGATGGAAAAGAGGTTTCCCCCAAAACACGTGCAAACTGCTCAAGGCCCTTGTGCTGCTCTGTCTACTGCTGAAAGCCTTTCCCACCAAGGATCCATCTCCTCCAAGTGCTGATTTCCTCTTCCCAGGAGGAGATCAGCAGGAAAATTTTATGAGGATTTATTCTCTATTTGGCACTTGGGATTCTCCCAGTATAACATGCTTATTGCCTATGGCCCATTCCCCTGTCTCCTAGATGTACAGGTAAAGATGTATGCTATTCCAGGTGCCAGCCTCACCATAGAGATTAATGAGAGATAATTTCTTACAAAGAGGTTTATTGAGTTCTCCGAGTTCATTTCCCAGCTGTGAAGTAAAACATCTGAAAACAGTTTTTGAATACTAAGTTCTCCCTGGCACTAGTGCAAAAAAGGGAAACAGTGCCTTTTTCTGCTCAAGGTATTTATTCTGCTGGGCAGAGCAGGCTTCATGTGCCAAGCCCTGGAAGCTGAGATACTAGTTATTAGATGCCTTTTGGCATGGCCCACTCAAGCTATGAGAGGATGTGCCTCGCATGCTCAAGGCACCACACTCTGCTTCTCAGCATCCTCATTCCCAAGAGCTCCTGCAAGTGATGGGTAGTTATTTCATGGCAGATTGGAGAGCTGAGGGAGCCCTGGAGACAAAGGCAAGAATGATCATCAACTATGGCAGTGTAAAGGCCCTAGGAAATGGGGCAGGGGCTGTGGCACCCTGCAGATCTTACGTCTGCTCATCTTGTGACCTGAAATGTTGTTTTGGTGTCATAGTGATATCTCTTCTGCCACATTATTCTTTAAGGGTGAAGAAGGAAGGTCCTTCCTTGGACCTCAATCTGCGCCAGTCTCCTCATTACATGTGTTTTGCTGACTTGCTTCTTGGGACACCCTCCTTCCCTCTGCCCTACCCAAAAGCCAAGCAGGAGCCCAGCCCCTGCAACTGCACACTGGGCTGGTGCGGAGGACAGAGCCTGCACCAGCATCGCCCAGCAGAACAATGCATGGCTGCTGGTTTGCTGCAGCTGGTTTTCTTCCTTGGTTCATGGTGCCTTTGAACAGAGTCACCATGGCTTGGGTTGGAGGAAATGGTTTGCAATCAGTAAACTGTGTTTTAAAATAATCCTCCCATTAGTAATTGCGTAGGTGGCTGCACAGGGACCTGTGGGGTGTATCTTTGTATGCAAATACTGGCCACGAGGCACTAATTACGCTCCTCTTCCATCTCAAGCATATACCTACACCTGCTAATGGATCATTCTACTAATTTTTATCTCTGTTCCACTTAGCGTACCATGCCCATAATGCACCTGCATTTTCATACAGGTGCTGAGGGTACATTAGCTGGGAAGGGTCACTGGGAAAACCCACAGCTGTAAGGACAAATTCTGGAAGATGATTTACCATTTCCCTCAACATGTTACAGTGCATCTCCAGTGAGCCACAATCAGCCCGTGGGCTTTTCCTCTGGGGTACACCAGTGGGAAGGACGTGAGCATCTTCTTCACTTTTTTATTTATTTACACTTCAATGCCCTTCCTTGGAGGTGACTTTTCTGTTATCTGCAGCATTTTTCCTTGAAAATTCCCCTCCTGACAGCATCCCAGCAAGAGGACCACCACTTCTTCACATCCCAATGGAGAATTTGCATAGAAATGTTTGCAAATGCTTTTTGCACAGATGAAATGCTGTAGCATCAGGGAAGTTCACATAAAACCAAACTACAGTACTCACTCTTCCCTATGACTGGTCTTTGTCTTCAAACAACTATACAAGAGGGCAATCAATATACCTTGCCAGGGTCTTTTTAATGCTGACCATTATGGTCGTAATACTTCCTCAGGCAGCTGTGTCAATACAGTTGAGACACCAAACATGTCAAAACCACATAGAATCTTTATTAAGGTGAAATTAAATGATCAAGCCCTACTCAGTAAATTAAATAGACATTATCCTTCAAGAACACCAGACCTAAAACGCAGATGCAGTTTACAAATCCAGGGCATACAAAGTTAGGATTAAATTAATGAGAAACTCAAACTTTTGCCACAGAGCCTGGGCAGGAGGAATTTAGGAGAACAGGAGTTGCTGTTAGGGTGCTCTGGACACCTGCTCTTTGTTTTTTATTGCAGTATTGACCTGAGCTAAAAAAGTGCATTGAATCTGGGGCAGGCAGGAGGGAAAGAGTTATTGGCACAAGCATTCAGTCTCCCTCTGCTCAACAAATTAACCTGGATTGAGCAAAATAAAACATAAAATTACTTATTTGTATATGGTGTGAGGAGACAGTGCATGGGGCTGCCCTGGGTGGCACCACAATGCGTGGCACTGCAGAGGGAGGGCATATGGGTTTTGCCAATGAGGGAATGGAAAACCTATTCACCCTGCCCAGTTAAATACAACCTGACAGCTTTGATCCCTCCTGCCATACAGTGTGGTGCCTGCTACAGTGAGGCTGTGCATGCAAGCACATGGAGAGCTTAAGGAGGAAACCACAGTGGTGCAGGTTTGGAGGCAACACATCCTGCTGCTTCACTACCTGTGGGACAGCATCTCCCTGCACCTTTCTGTAGCTTCCCTGCAACTCAAGCAGCTTCTGCCCCCTGCACCTTCCTGGGATTACTGTAGGAGGTGATGGTCTCAGGTACCTCCAAAGCAGCAGCACGTGTTTGGTTGGAGCTGGGGCTCGCTGCTGCCCAGCCACAGGTGAGCAGCCAGGCCCCAGAGCTGCGAGGGAGCTTGTGTTCTGGGAAGTACCAGCATGAGAGTGGAATTAAACCTCAGGAAAAAAGAGCAGATGCTGGGCTGGAGAGCAGCCTGTCCCCAGGCGCCCTGCTCTTGCTGAGTGGTTTGCAAAGTCTCACGCTGCAGAGAGCTGGCCTGACCACAGGGCCATCCTTTGTGCTGCATCGTCATGCTGGGTGTCTTTCTTCTCCCAAATCCTCCCAAGCACTTTCGGATTCTGCAGAGACATCAGTGCTGTGCTCATGTGGGGAATCTGGCTGCAGGACTGCAGGGTACTTCCAGCTTGGTGCCTGCTGCCAGCCAGCCAGCCTCCCCCCAGCCTTGCACAGGGGCTGCAGCATTATGTATTTTCACCTTCCAAAAGGAGACCATCAGAGGACAAGTAAGACTTGTGAGAGCTGCCAGGGGCCTGGGAAAGAAGAGCTAGAGCTCACACTCCTCTCACCTTGCTGGTGCCCTTGGCTGTAGGGTGCACCAGCACACAGGTCAATGCAGCAGAAAGGCGCTTGTGCTGCTGAGAGCTGAATAAGAGCTCCCAGGTGGGTAAAATAGCTGGTGATCCAGCCCAAGGCAGTGAGAAGGATGCAGGTACCGCAGGTAACATGAGGTTGTTGGGACACAAGAGCTGGGTCCGGACTCTCCTCATGGTGCCAGGCATGCAGCAGCACAGGCCTGTTGCTGCCTCTTCATCCAAATGTTTGGTAGGGGAACAGGACCTAGATGGATTTCTCTGGGCTTGATGCTTTGTAACAGCCTGGTATGGCTTGCTTTGCTCCACTTACTTGTGAGCTCTCATTTTTCAGTTCTGCAATGCTTGGGAAGTGGATGTGTTCAGGCCATCTCTGAGGCTAGGAAGCGATTGCAGATCATCCATGGCTGTACAGAACTGGAACAATTTGCTGTCTTTCAGGACCAGACTAGCAGGAAGGCTCAGAGAGGCTGGGGTTTTGCCTCTCCATAGGGTGCCACCACTCTGGTGTCCCTGCAAGCTACAGAGCGGACCTGGCTACTTCAGCGGCTGTCTCTTGGCTTGGAAGGAGCATTTACCTCAGCACTTCCCAGCGGGTCAGGTAACTGAAAGGACAGCATCAGTTGGCCCCCAAAGCACTGCCAGCTTCTCCACTCCAAGGGCATGGGCTTCCTTGTGCCTGTGGCCTGTTTTCCAACGCCAGTGAGGGATGCTGCCCATGTGGGTCTTCCACTGGAGGGCTGGGAATTTCTGTCCTTTCTTCTGCATTATTGTTGTGCTGCTTTCACTTCAGCAGGTGGGAGTCTATAGCTTGCCAGGAGGATTTCGCATTTCACAAAGGAGCTCTTTTACCAATACACCTCAACAGAAAGCTGAAAAACTGCTCTGTTCCAGCCTATTTAGTTTTAATTGTTTCCTTTAGTTCTCATTGCCCATGGCAAAATATCACCTTCCTCTAACAAACCGCCAGGCTGAGAGCCAGTCACCCTGCGCAGCCACCACCACCGTGCCATCCCTCCTCAAGTCCCATGGCTCCCAAAGGTCTTGTCTCTGCTGGGCAGGGATAGATTTTGGGGAGGAGGCAACAGTGCTTGCATTGCCCTCAGCAAGCACTGGGCAAGGAACAGGTGAAGTGCTCCCATTGCCGTACTGTCTCCATGTCTCCAAGGTCTTTGCTGGCTACTTCGGCTCTCCCCTCTGCTCACAGACACCGTCACACTGCCCTTCCCAGCTAGCACTCCTCTACCCTGCTTCCCAGCCTTCCTCCATCAGTTTCTGTGGAGGGGCCAGCTCGTAACACTTGTTTCTGAGACGGCTTTGAAAAGAAAGAGTTGTGTTGCTGGGTAAGAAACATGATGCAGACAGTGCCCCTGGGGGATGTTGAACAGCAGAAGACAAGAAAAGCCTCTCCTCCTTCCCTTTGCCACAGAGCGGTCTTCAAGCAGCAGTGAGCTCATGTGCCTTTACAGGAATGATGCAATGCACCTCATTCCAGGTGAGCATCGCCTCCATCACCTCTCCTCCCACTCCTGCTCCTAACACAGGGGCTCAGGGCAGCCATGCCCCAAGGACACCCCTCTCCACAAAGACAACACGACATCAGCAGTGAAAAGCAGGGTCTTGCAGCCTCGGGAAAAGGTTGTGGTGACTCCTAAGCCTGATTGGAGATTACAACACAGCAAGGATAAAGCACTATTCCCATGCAGGCTCCATTCAGGAAGCACAGCCAGACATTCCTCCAAGCAACCTTAGCAGCAGATCAAGCTCAAAGGATATGAACATTCCACCATAAGGCATAGCTGCAGAGCTAGCTATCAGGCTGAGACAGAGCAAAAATACACACAACAACCTGTCAGAGTAACCCCTGGGTAATTCATTTTATCCTCAGGATAAATTACTGCTGCAGGTACAGCCTGATGCTGAGCACTGCCTGAGCCGTGTGTCCCAGCCCTGGGCACAGCACCGCGCTGCCAGTAGCTGCAGGGTTTCCTACACTCAATTCTGGGGAAGAGCTGTAAAATAAAGCCTCATAAATTAATTACCTGAAAGAGTGGCAGAATGTTATTAGATACTTGGGAGTTAATTGCAGTGATGTTAATCGCATGTATTTTAATGGCTCCAGTATAGATGTAATATGTAATTCCATAGGTATTCCAGAATAATTTAGCAATATAATTAATTTCTGCTAATACCTTTTTAATCACCTGCCCTTTTCCTCTTGTTTTCTCCGAGGGAAAGGATGAAGAAACTTTTGCAGTTGGCTAAATTTACTGCAAATTCACTTTTGTTGGCAAAGATACTGTTTGATTTCTCAGCAGACTTATTCCCAGTAGAGAACCCCACAAAGCCATGCCTGGGCAACAGGGTGGCAAAGCAGGGTTGTAATTGCCTGGTCCTTCAATGCTTTGGACAGATGATGATGGGCTGAAAAGATGAAGACTAAAATAATTTGTCAATTTAGGTCAAATTCAGTGAGCAGAGCCAGAAGAAAATGTGGAAGAGAAGTGTAAACAGCATCAGGCATTTTATTCTGACTCCTCAAAATTAAATGTTTGGTTCAGAAAAAGCAAAAATATCCCATTTCAGCATGTTTGAGATGCAGCTTTTCTGCTTGCCTCCTTGCACCTCCCCCCAGGTGCAGGCAGCTGAGAGGTGCCCAACCCCTGGGGCAGTGCTTCAGCTGGAAAAGCCTGGTTTTTGCTTGCTGAACCCACCACTAGATGAGTGCAGGGCACAGCACCTCTCGGGACGGCACTTGGAGTCCAGGGGAGGTGGATGCAGGAGGAGAGAAGGGATTTGAGTTGTATGGGAGCTGCCCTCCGAGCTGCCCCCTCCCTCCCCACACTGGCAGAAAAGAGACCACCAAAGCCATTGCTCTCATGGGGCTTTTATTGTCCGGCTGGCCCTCACCTCCCACCACCTGCCCACAGCCAGCCAAGCCCATCACCACCACACACACCAGAGGAGGAGACCATGCCCATCCCCAAGCCCAACCACCTGCCCCGGGCAGCACATCCTTCCCAGCTCTTGTTTGAGGTTTGTTTTCTTTTCTTTTTTTTTTTTTTTGGAAATATTTTATTTTAAAAATATAGTAGCTGTGGAAAGCAGCCCTCTTTATAAACGCTCAATGCCAGAGTGAAATGCATCATTGCCAGCCTCACTATGAAGCCCTCCTGGGTGCCCGCCTGCAGCAGTGCTGGTGGGGCCAGGGCAGCGGTGCTGGATGCTGCAGGCGGGGAGGCTTGCAACAGCAGGGAGGGACCCTTCTAAAAATAGAAATATTGTGCTGAGTTGTTTGGAGTTAATGAAATCCATAAAACACCAGCATTAGATCAGCTTCAGCTTGTCAAATATTGCTCCCAGCAGGGTTGGCGTGGTGCACTGCTTGAGGTGTCCCTTGTCCTGTGGTGAGGGACCCATGCCGGCTCCCAGCCCTGCTCCCTGCCGCAGGGCTTGCTGCTCTTGGCCATCACCAACCCACAAGGACTGGTCCCTGGGGCAGCCCAGAAGCCCCTGGGAGCCACTATAAATAGGAAACTGTAAACACAACCATTGGAGATAAGAGACATCTACAATCACAGGGTTTACTGGTTCAAACATCCCACCTTCCCCCCCCAACCCATACACCTATGCCCCTGTCCCCACTTAATAAAAAGGTCTTCAGTAACAAAATCTTCGTTCCAGGCTTGGGGTAAAGGTGAGGTGCTCAAGGAGTAAAAAGGGACTTTGCAACCTTAGCAGTCTTTGCTCAGGAGTGATGGTGGCGGGAAGGACAGATGGAAAGGGCTAACTGGTTCAGGTCCTTTGCAAGTTCATTTGGTTTGTCTGGAGGACTCCTAGGGTTATACCTGAGATGAAGACATCTAGGGGACACTCCATAGCTCAATTACAACGTGGTTGGTGTTTTGTGCCTAGAAGAGCCCTCGCTGGTGGGATTTGTCCATCTTGCTCGCCCATGCAGCGAGAAAGCAGTATCCCTCCTCTGCTTGGCACAGGGCTATCTGAACCAATGCTCGGCTGGGCGTGACCCCTCATGTGTCAAGGATCTCCCTCGTGGGTGATGGCTCGTGCGGGATGCCCTGTGTGCTGTGGATGCTCTGGTTGTGGGAGAGGGAGTTCTGCTGGAGCTTCCAGAGGGAACTCCTTCACCTGCCGCTTGTACTCGAGGAAGGTGCATGCCTTGGTGGCAATTGCGATGATGTTCTTGCCAATAAAGATGGTGGAGACCCTGCTGTCCTGGAACAAGACCATGTTGATAGCCCGGATGAAGATGGTGACGATGTTAATGGTGACCAGGCTGAGGACAGGGTAGAGCATCATTTTTTGTGGGGCAATGTGCTCCCCTTGCATGCTGATCTCACTGAGGGACACACAAGGCAGGATCAGGAGGAGTATGTAGCAGTAGAAGAACATGAGCCCCTCTGCCCAGATGGGCAGGCCGGTCCTGTGCGGCTCCCACAGGTTGGCCTGGATGTCCAAAATATCTAGCAGGTCAAGGGCCACCCAGAAGAGGCGTCCCCGCAAGTCCTCTTTCTTCCGAAAGGTCCGTATATACTCCATGCTGTCCAAGGCCACCAACACCAGGTAGAGCCCGGGCACACAAATAGAGAGGAGCAGGGTCAGGGCTTTCCTGGCCACTGTCTCCAGGTTCTTCTTGTCTGCTTTGTAATTCTGAAAGATGAAATACAGCTTGATCTCCAGCACGAAGATGTAGAGGAACCACAGGATCATGGCATAGCCCCGCTTGGCTGTCTTCACCTCTGCCCCCACCCACACCGCCACATAGCGCAGCACGATGAGGAAGCAGATGTCCCCCACCAGCACGATGATGCAGACACCAATCTTGCGGGGCCCTTGGTTCTGCTCCACCAGGTACGCATCCATGAAGGCCATGCTGGTCATGATGACAATGGTGGTCAAACAGACATGGCGCTTGTCGGGCGGTGGCAGCACCATGATGAGATGAGCAGCCCTCCCTCCACACCAGCACTAGGGGAGCGGTCCTGTTGGCGGGGCAAGGGGGGACATCCACAGTGAGCCAGGGACCAAGGGCTGCTCTGTCTGCTGGCCCCAGGAAGAGATCCCTGGAGGAGCAGCAGCTCAGCTCCCACTCTCCTGGGGTTCTGGGCTGCCCCTGCAGACCCTCTCCCAGCTCTTCACCCTTTGCTGGCTGCGCCCTGCAAGTACCTCAGCTCTGCCACCAGCCCCGGCTTGCTGAGCAACCCTGGCACCCTCCGCAAGCAGCAGCCAGGGCTCACAGGCATGCAGGGCCTCCTGGGCAGATGTCCCTACTCTGTGGTGGATCCCCCATTGCTGTCAGGCTCTCCAGCAATCCCACAGCACTAATGCACCTCCAGGTTTCGAGCCTCAAATCCTGGTATTGATCCCTGGAAATGCGGTAGGTAACCAGGCATCAGGCAGACCTGGCTGGCAGGGCAGGAAAGGGAGCTCTCCTCTTCCCAGCAAGACCTCACACTCCTCCGTGGTCTGGGGATGTTCTGCTGTGTCCTCACAGGGCACTACCTTCACATCTATCTCTGAGGGCCTGTGCCATGCTCCTGCTGCTCCCAGCTGTACATGCATCCCTCCATCCCTGGAAAAGATAGCAGAGAATAAGCATTAGGGTCTCTCCACGTGCTGGACATGGATGGTGAGGACAACAGCTCCCATCAGCTCCCACCACACGGCAGTGTGAGCTGCGTTACCACCAGGTAATATCGCACTGCCAGGACACCCACTACCAGGCTTTGTGCATGGCTGAATATAGAACAGGTTTTTATTGAGAACGAACACAGCCGAGGGTGTCCTGAATGGAAACTTGGTGCCTTACACAGGCACTTTCCATCCAAAACTGTTCAGCAAGTTCAAGCCCTGGGTGCTATTGCAGAGAAAGCAGAGGCACAACCCTGGTGGGGACAGGCAGATCCATGAGTGTGCCATGATACCGTGAAATCCCACTGGGAGCCGTGGCACCCTCAGCTCCATGTGTCCCAGCCCAGCTGTGCCATGGCTGCAGTGGGGAGAGGGACACACATGTTCTGCAGAGGTCCCATCCTGGGCATGGCTCTGCTAAACGATGGCTATGGGGTTTCACTGGTGACGGAGGAGGGGAATACTCAGCTTCCAGCAAGGAATAAAGGCAAGCTCTCCAGAGAAGACTCAGGATTTCCACACTGCTTGAGCAGCCATCTGGCTGGGTGTGAATGGGTGCTTGGAGTGGCAGGCTGCAGCAATGGAAGGGGTAAAGCAGCTCGCAGGGTGTGGGGTACTTTCCTCCTTGAGTAGGGGTGAGGTTAGGGCTGGCATGTGGTGCTTGGGCTGCCCCCAGCATGGCACAGGGAAGGGGAAGGCGCAGCAAAGCTGTCTCCAGGATGGCACAAGGTCTCAGCAGCTTTCTGGCCGGGCACAGCTGCTCATGGCCACAGCTCCTTCTCACCGTGCTGTGCTTGTGTAACCAATTTGTTAATCTTTCCTGTGCAGGGATCCACTCCCAGGAAGGGAATAGGTCCCAGTGCACTCAGGAGTACTATCAAACTGCTTACAGAATGGAGGAGACAGATAATGATCACAGCCAGATATGCCCATCACATGCCATGTGACAGCTAGCCCTATGGGCATAGCAGCTCTCTGGGAGGAAAGTGCTTGACCCCACAGATCCCCCCTATAGATCACCCCATCTCGCCCTGTGGATCCCAGCTATTGTGGTTGCCTCTGCCCCTTGGAAGGGAATCATGACCCAGGGATAGCTCCAGGAGCTGTCAGAGGAAATTGATGCCCTTGCCAGAGCCTGCCCAGGACTTGGTGGCACTGCTTCTGCTCCCCATCAGCTGACTTTTAACTGCAAACCTGGGCTCTCACATCTTTTAGGGAGAGGCAGAGGTGGAGGTTGAAGGGAAGAAGCGAAGCCTAAGGAATTGCAAGCCATTAAAAGCCTGCCCTACTTTGCATGGGGAAGTGTATTACAGCTGCTTATGTTCATGGGGCCTCATTTAAATAAAAGCTGGATTCTCTCCTGCTTCATGGAGAGAAGAATAAAGAAGAAAAAGTGGGAAGCCAGGTGACTCAGAGCCAGCCCTGAGGACGTGTGCCTGAGTAGGTGGACACCAGGGATGAATGTACCTTTGTCCTGGCTCCTGAAGGATGTGGCAGGCGAGGATGTAGTGTTCAGCAAATGTTAGCATGGAACTTAAAGTCCCCAGGCTGGGACCATTCTGTGTCCATTGCTAAACTCATGCACAGCAGGGAAAACTGACATGTTAAAATAATTTCTCAAACAGGAATTGCCCAGAAAGAAACCAAAAAGTTGCGGGGGGAGGGATTCACGTGTCCTTCTAAATGGTGCTTCCCAGGCAAGGCACTCACTGCAGCTCCACTCTTACCAGCATCTCTGCAATGTCTTGTAGCTGCCATTTAGGGCTTTGGTTTGTTCTTTCTTGAGGTTTTGGATAAAAATATACAGTCACTGCTGTAACTGCTTTTACACTCATGCCAAGTTTTACAGGGGATTTATAGCCAAGAATAGATAATTCCAGATAAATTAGGTCTTTCAGACAGGAATAGTACTTTTTTCCTTTCCCCCATAAGTATTTATGCCTTCAAAAGACAGTGATTATTTAAAAGGCAACGGGTGCAATGCAGCAGGTTAAGGTTAGGAAGCAGCTTGCTTGTAAATCCTGCCCCTTCGCTCCTGTGTGGTCTGGGAAGCTGGGGGAAGGACAGGATTCCAACCCAAGCTATCCACATGCCTATGTGAAAACACACAGAGGAACCCTACCTTACCTCTCAGTAAACACCCAGGGCAGTGGGCAACACTAATTCATGGTGTTTATAACAGCAGCAAACATTGGTGCTGAGCAGACTGTTTTCAGCAAAAAAAGAGTGGATTCTTCCCTCCCCTCACAGCCTAACGATTCGCAGCAGCTTGGGATGGGTTTGGTACACATGTTCATTTGTTACAGTGACCTTTCAGAATGGAGTAAGGGGATCGTGGGGCTGAGCTGAATCACAAGGCTCGAGTGTTGCTTTCTCTTGGGTTAAATCTGTATTACCCAGGGCAAGCACCTCTCTTGCCTTTTGCAAATAGTTTCAAGCTTTTGCTGCAGTGCAAGCTCTTCTTTCCAGCTGTGCAGTAGCTGGTATTTTTCTCACTTCTTGCAGCCTTGGTGCTATATGGAAACATGGAGGTCTCCACCGATCCGTGGAGCAGAGCTTGCCTGTTTGCATGATGCATGACCATCCTACCAGCAAGGGGGCACATAAAACTCTCCTCGGAGGACTATTAAAAAAAGCAGGTAGTTTTTAAGCAACCATTACTCCTGAAAATCCCAATTCATAATTTTTAAATGACTGCATTTGACAATACAGTCAGGAGCCGCTTGAGAAATGTGCTGGATAAACAAGAAAATGAGCATGTCAGTCACAAGAGCATATCTGAGGCAAATATTTGTTTAGACAAGTATTCACAAAATTCTTCCTGCAGGAATTCTTGTAAATAAAAGGAAGCTCACCTGAACGTAATGAGCTCGGAGTGTTACGGATGCCAGCGAGCCAGACTGGCAGCTTCCTAAGGGAAGGAATCTAGCACCCTTTGCATCCCACCCGGTGTCAGGGCTCCCACAAGCAGGTATTGCAGCGATGCTTCACTCTTGGCAACTATAGGCCTCCTTATCAGGACAAGATTCAATCCATAATTGCATATTCTCCCGTACCGCTATCCTATGCAAACATCTCTGTTGCTTGCACTGGAGTGAGCAAACACACTTGGTAACACCCACAGCAGCTTGTGATCAGCTGGCGAGATGCAGCCCAGGAGGAGTATCCAGCCACACCAGTGAAGACTGACAGCACAGCACAGGGATAGGCAGCAGCATCATGTCCCCTCTCCACCTGGGGGCTTTCTTGGGGGACACCACATTTCCCAGTGCAGACTGCCACTTCCCAGCATCCCTGCAGGGCAGGAGGGCCTGCAGTGGGAATGGGGGGAACCCACTGATTTCCTAGAGAGACCTGGAGGTCCTGCAGGTGGGTCTAAACTTAACTGAAGTGCAGGGTTTCACTCTTCATCTCTACCCTGCTTCCTTTGGCACCAAGGGAAAATGAGCAGCAGAAGTGCAGCCAGCCCCTGCCCTTATTGCTCTGGTCCCTTTGCTCTGACTGGGGAGTTATTTCTTGGTCTTGTACCTGTTTTTCCAGCCCTCATGGTTGCTATAAAGCACCTGAGGATGTAGGTACTATTACCCATTATGTATCCACTATTATTACGGGGGACAATGTAGGCCCCCTCAGGAAGCTCTCAGTAGAGCTAGCTAGGCAGGATTTGGAGAAGGCTGAGGTTCTGAATGACTTCTTTGCCTCGGTCCTCACTGGCAAAGGCTCTGACCGCACCACCCAAGTCTTGGAAGGCAGATGCAGGGACTGTGAGAATGAAGACCTTGCGCCCACTGTAGGAGAGGATCTGGTTCGAGACCATCTTTAAAATCTGAACATGCACAAGTCCATGGGACCTGATGAGATCCATCCGCAGGTCCTGAAGGAGCTGGCACATGAAGTTGCTAAGTCACTGGTCATCATATGTGAGAAATCATGGCAGTTAGGTGAAGTTCCCAATGACTGGAAAAAGGGAAATATAACCCCCATTTTCAAGAAGGGGAAAATGGATGACCCGGGGAATTACAGACCAGTCAGTCTCACCTCTGTGCCTGGCAAAATCTTGGAGCAGATTCTCCTGGAAGGCATGCTAAAGCACATGAAAAACAACAAGGTGCTTGGTGACAGCCAGCATGGCTTCACTAAGGGGAAATCCTGCCTGACCAATTTGGTGGCCTTCTATGATGGGGCTACAGAACTGATGGACAGGGGTAGAGCAGTTGATGTCATCTACCTGGACTTGTGCAAAGCGTTCAACACTGTCCCACACAACATCCTTGTCTCTAAATTGGAGAGACATCAATTTGATGGATGGACGGACCACTTGGTGGATAAAGAACTGGCTGGATGGCCACACACAAAGAGCTGTGGTCAACGGCTCAGTGTCCGACTGGAGCCCAGTAACGAGTGGTGTCCCTCAGGGATCGGTGTTGGGACCGGTCTTGTTCAACACCTCTGTCAGCGACACGGACAGTGGGATTGAGTGCGCCCTCAGCAAGTTTGCCGATGACACCAAGCTGTGTGGTTCGGTTGATATGTTGGAGGGAAGGAATGCCATTCAGAGGGACCTTGACACGCTTGTGAGGTGAAGTTTAACCAAGGTCCTACACCTGGGTCCTGGCTCCTGGGACTGCTCCCCCTTGGCTCCCCGCAGCCTCACGAAGACGGAGGCGAGGACAAGGGCCAGGATGGTGAAGAGCAGCCGGATGGCCAGGTACAAGTCCACAGCCACGTCCGTCCCGCCCTGCTGCTGGACCCTGCCCGTATTACAAGTCATTGCCATAAAGCACAGTGAGACAAGAACCTTAGCCCAAGCCCCACACTTAATAAACACTAACACAGCAAATACCGGCTCTAAGTAATGTACTGCATTCTGAAACTGTGAGATCAAGAGGAACAACTCTGAGAGCCAATAAATCAGCATTGTGACGAGTGACTATTAATCCG